AGGGGTGTCTTTTTTTCCCCGCTGGCTGAAAAAGGGAGGTGGGGAGGAGAAAGACGGTTTTCTGCTCCTGTGGGGCTTCACTGAAATTGGTTTCCCTCGCATGTCTTGATTTCATCCAAACCCCGCACAGCCATGTCTGCGCGGGATCTCGGCGGCCACCGTGCGGGGATAATCTCGTTATTCCTGGGCCGTCTGACGCCAGAGGCAGAGCAGCTCTCAGGTAAAGGGCTCGGGGTCAAGGAGCGCCGTGTTACAGCCTAGGCGGCCACTCCTTCCAAAAAACCCTGAAGCCCGGAGGACAGTGGCTTGCAGGGAGCCAGATGCGGGCCACGGTGGTTTCTGAGCACCCAGTGTGTACGTGGGCGTCCGGAGAACAGAAAGGTCGCCACAGGCAGGCCAGGTGCGCAGCCACGACTCGGCGGCAGGTCTCGCTCCAGATGCTCAGCTACTGTGGAGTCCCTCGGGTTCCATCTCCTCCGTGGTCAAGAAGTGGGCTAGATCAATCATGCGCCCTGCAGCTCTGGTCTAGCCATTATCTTGGTGGGGAAGGATTGTCTATAGAGGACCCCAGTCTCCACTGTCAAGAGAAAAAGCGAGGCGCCTCTGAAGCATATGTTCACCTCTCGCCCAGAGCAGCCGGGCCCTCGAGGCAGCCAGGGCGGGAAGGCACTTCACTGGGCGTTTAGCTTCCCATCTCCTGGCTTTCTTGAGGCCTTGGCGTGCTCCTTGCAATGCCAAAAATATGTTAGAGATCCAAAAGCTTTGCTTTTCAGAACCAGAGCGTTATTCAATCACCTTAAAAGGATGTAGATGAAAACAGTCTCTGACTATAGGTGAACTCTGTGTGTGTGTGTGTGTGTGTGTGTGTTGTGTGTGTGAAGGAAAGGGCCAGGGTTTCCAAAATTTGAGTCTAAAGAGACCCTCAAGTAGGCTGGCTGTTTTCTACCCTCCACCCCAACTTACTTTTGCTGCCCTCGGGTAAAACCATGCATTGCCCCTTATTTCCCTTCAAGTCCCCTTCAGGAAAGTTCCCTGGACTTGGATTAATACTAAAATTGATACCCATGTGGGCCTGTGAGAATCCAGCAGAATACAAACTTGTTTGTCCCTCCAAGATCCCAAACTGGGAATCTCAGCTTCCTGCCTGTTTTCCTGAAAGTACCTGCAATACCCTGATTGGGGTTGACCGGCAGAGAGAAAGGAGAGCCTAGTACATTTCTTGTGCCCAACTGTTGGGGAAGAGAGTGGCACTGAGGATGAATCTGCCCCTGTGGCTCCTAACAGAATCTGTGAATTCAGAGAGGAGACTAAGATTTCTCCTAAAGGGTCTCAGGGTGAAGAGAGCCTCTTACACCTGTCCCATTGATTGAGTTGGGGGCTTGGCTCCAGGAACTGAAAAATGGAGCACTTGGACTTTTATAGTGCACTGGAGGCCCATTCAGCCTGGAGTCTGGAAGAGGGAGTGCTTCCTGTCCACCGGCTGCTGGCCCTAGCCCCTCCAAGTAGAGGTGAAAGAAGACAGCCTGGATAGCACAATCCAACTTAAAGTGCTTGTAGTCTTTGAAAACAAGGAGGTAAGGGAAGCTGTCCTCCCTTTGACATTTTTTTTTTCCAGGGAAAAGATGAAAATATCCCAAGCTATACAACCCACTTCTTGGGGCAGCTTCCTCTCCACTTCCTCACCACCCCCAGCTTCCTTCTTAAGAATTGTGGCTAGACTGGTGGTGGGCTATACCCTCAGAACTAAATAGGACCTCCCAAACTCCAGCAGCCCCCCACCCCCACCCCACCACTTCCAGTTTACCATAGACTTGCTGCATTCACTGAGAAGCAAGGATCCTGGCATCTCATCTTTTTGGGAAGTAGCAGCTCCTACTGGGTGTGGGACATTAGTCAGAAATAACATGCAGAGAAGGAGGATTCTATTAGGCTGCAGATTGCAGAAGGATCTGGTTAAGAGATATGTACTGAATGAATGGATAATTGAATGGATAATTCAAGGTTTGCAGGACTTCTGTACATGGCCTCCCAAAGTTCTGGTTTCTCTGTGAAGTTATTGTTAAACTTTTTCTCCTTCACAAACTATCTCCAAGGCTTCATTTCTTATGAGGTGGGTGTGTGCTGCCTGACTCTTTGTTGTTGTTTTGCTAAACTGGCAAAAAACTCAACAAGAGACAGACGAAGTTCCAAACACCCGATTTGGCAAATCGAGGTCAGCACAGAAACAAACCACTCAAGCATCCCTATTCACTTCCCCCTCCGCCAGCACTAATTAAGAGCCCTGGTGGCTTAGTGGTTAGGAATAGCGCTGCCAGTGCAAAGGTACGCGGTTCGAACGCACCAACCCTCCTCAGGAGAAAGATAGGCACTGTCCTTCCCTGCGATTTACTGCTGTCTCTGAAAACCTTATGGGTGAATTTCGACTCCATGGTAAACTACTAGGATTAATTGAATTATATTCTCAGAGACCCCTTTTTTTCCTCCTCCTCAGCTCGAGTCCTCTTAGCCGCTGACTTGTGCTAGGGCCGCCTACCCCTTTTGAGAGCAGACCTGCTGCGTCTGAAAGAGCCGCTTCCTCCAGCCTTTCCTTGAGGGCCCTACGGTGTGTGTGTGTGTGTGTGTGTGTGTGTGTGTGTGTGCCCTGTGTGCGTGAGTTTGAAAAGCTCATTGATTTCCATCCAAAAGGGCTAATTACATTACTTACAGTAAATAGCAACCCTGCTGTCCAGTAGGGCTGCCAAAGAGAGGGGGTGGAGTGTGGTGTCTCCAGCTTAGCTCACTTGATTGGCTTCATTTTTGTGTGAAATGGTGTTTTATGATCTGCATTCTGGCACCCGCAGGACCTAACAGCGCACAGTCTGCAAAGAACATTATTTTCAACCCTGAGAAAAAGGCTGGGGAGGAGAAAGCCGTGGAATCCTGAGCTGCCCGGGGAAGGCCGCTCCAGCAGCCTCAGGGGCTGTTGCTTTGGGACAGGAAGTCAGGCTGCAGCCCCGGGGATGGTTTCCTCCCCGCTTTCATGCCTCCCTCCCTCCCTCCCTCCTCTCTCGTCCTTCTTCCTCCAGTCTTCCTGGCCGGTTCTCTTCCTTTCTTTCCCTCCTCCTGTCCCTCGAGCCACCTTCCTTTGCTTTGCCTTCCTCAGTCTTGTCCTCCCCTCGTCTTGGTGGACCCGGCCGCGGTTCCCAGCTGGACTCCCCCGGGCGGAAGGAGGCGAGTCTGCCACCGGGGACTCTCGGAGGTCTCCGGACGGGTCAGGACCCTGGGCAGCCGGCGGGAGTGTTGGGGAACGCAGACATACCAAAGGGAAGAGAGGAGCTGAGCGTGGCCCCACGCTTCCTTCTCCCAGGTTAAAGCCAGGTTGGTTCTCGCCAGCGATCCCCACGCCGGGGGCCCTGGGGACCGTGAGCCCTTTGAATGAAGCTACAATATCAGAGTATTGTAGACACTTTAATGGAACGGGAGAAGGGACCTCTGGTAAGGGGAACAGGGAATAATGGGACCAATCCTTGAACCTTTTTTGCTGGTCACTTCTCACCTTCCCCTCCTCCTTGTCCGGGAGCCCCTCACACCCGCCCGGGTGCGCGGGGTGTCCCTGAACAAACTGGCAGTGGGAACAGCACGCAAAGCCGCGCGCGCCCGGTCCCTCAAGGGCGCGAGCCCAATTCCCGGGGTCCGCGGAGGCGCTGGCCACGCGGACGAGGTTCACACTGGGTTCTGGAACCACCTTCAAATTGGAATCGGTTAAGAGATCTTCCTCTGATGACTATGTGATCATGTTCGCGCGCTCCTACAAGAACGCGATCCGTCCCCTAAACTCGACTTTGTCAAAGAAAAGATTTCCCCCTAAAAGTAGTCACGAGAAACCCAAGCTTTCCAAGCGCTCTTTTCACTGAGGGGACCGTCCAGCGCCCGACAGGGTCTCGGAATCTCGGAGAGAGGTGAGGTGAAGAACTATGCCGGCAACTACTTTAGAGTTGAGTGGGTGAAGACCCGGTGTGAACGAGAGGAAAGAGCCTTATGTCGACTTGAGTGATGCTCTTGAGGGTTTGCTCAGCTTTCCTTATAGCGGGTGTCCGTCTGGGTTGACTGGACACCAGAATAGTGGAGAAATCCAAAGTTGGAGCTCATGTTCTGTATTCTGTGAACCTGGGGTCTGGTCTTGAACTCAGACTGTGGAGTCCGATTTTGCCTCCAGCTCTAGGGCGGGGACAGCAAGGCCTCCTTTCTCCCCTCTAAAATGTAGCCACTGGGAACTCATGGAAAGATGTGTGTACGTGTGTGTGTACGCGCGCGCGCGCCGCGCGCGCGCATGCTGGGGGGAGGCAAGGACCCCCTCCTCTTTCCTCCCCTTCTCTTCATTCCCCCCCCTTTTGTAATGTTTGTCCCCGCTTGCCCATCACCAGGGGGTTGAGAGGAGTATGACAGGTCTTTGTTGTCTGAATAAAAATCCGTGGCAGCTCCAGGGAGAGAACTCCTCCTACTAAATTATCAAAAATGGGCTGGCTTTAGTCTCTTAACAAATTGGACACAGCTCCGGCAGGAGCAGTCCCCAACCCAACCTACAGGCACTGGGAACTTGCAAGCAGCCAGGGACCGCTGAAAATAGCACTTCTTCTTCTTCTCTCTTTGTGTGCAAAATTATTTTCTTTCTTCACCAGATTTTTGTTTTGCTCCCCCCGCTGCAGTTGTTAGGAACGGGATCTCGGCGAGCCCTCAGATTCGCCCTGCTCGCCTGTTTCCGCGCCGCCCGAGCGTGTTTGTTTTCCGCGCGCATCTCCTTCGGGGAGCCACTGGGCTTTCAAGAATTCCCCCCTCCCCTTCTTTCTTTTCGAAGCAGCCCAATTTCTACTGCCTTTGCCTCTTTCTTCTTCTCTGTCTGCTCTCCTCCTCTTGCCCTCTGTCCCTGAGAGTCTCGGCGCCCCTCCACTGCGCAGCCCTCTGCAGTCTGTCTGCCCTCTGCTCCTTCACTCGGATGAGCTGAGAGCCCGGAGCGTGTGTATATGGAAATAGTAGGGTGCCGAGCAGAAGACAAGTCGTGTCCTTTCCGCCCCCCAGCCATGCTCTTCCACGGGATCTCCGGAGGCCACATCCAAGGCATCATGGAAGAGATGGAGCGCAGATCCAAGACCGAGGCCCGCCTGGCCAAAGGAACCCAGCTCAACGGCCGAGATGCGGTAAGGAGGTGGCCCTAGGAGGCGGCTCCCGGGGCCGGTTAGGACGAGCCTCTGGCCCCTGGTCGTCAGGGCTTGGAGGTGTCCACTCCAGGTTGGAGGGCGGGCTTGCTCCAGTTTGGGATCAGCTGGGCTAAGAAACGGCACCCTTTGGGATTCAAAATGTCAAGAGCTCGAGGTCTTCTGCGGTAACCGTCCCGAGCAAACAGGGCAAGAGGGGAGAGTAGGAGAAGGGAGGGAAATGTTCTCCGTTACAAACCCCAGAACTTCGGGGTCGTGCTTCGTCCTAGACTTCCGATCGCCTTCTCTTGGAGGATCTGTAGAACAGGGCGCGGGCGCCGGCGCGGCAGAGGCTCTTGGTGGGGCCGGAGCCCCAGGGCCCGTGTGTCCCTGGGTCTGATGATCAGACTTACTGCGTGTACTCAACTCAACTTAAAGGGAGGACACAGTAAACCATCCTCAGCTTTCCTTATGCTTGGTGTTCAGCACCCTTAAACTAGGAAATTCGAAGACATTCTCAGGCTCCCTGGCAAAACGACTCGACCCTTGTAGAGAGACTGAAGAGCATTCAGCTTCTGGATCCGGTGGGAGTGTTTGTTGGGGACACCAAATTGTAAGAATGAAAAACAATCAGAGAAGCGCGTATCCAGCCTGTGCGCTAGAACTTTTCCTAAACCAGTCAACTAGCTTAGCAACTACTTGGTTGTTACTATTCACAGTAACAAAAGACAAGCCCGCTTACTAAAGAAAACCCGTTAGTAATCAATCTAAGGACAGCTCTTCTTAGTTAAGAGCCGAAAGGGTGGGAATGGAGGGTGGGTTGGAACGACAAAAATCCAGGGCCGTGATTGCATCTAAACAGCTCTGTGAAGACTTCGCACACCGCAACTGTAGCAGAAACTTAGGAGGACTCCCAGGTTCAAGGTGCTGAGTTGGTGAACGTATCTGTATTTTAAGTGCTGGCGTAGAGCTGGGCCCTGGTCCGCCTGAAGAGGAAAAACTTGCCTTCACTCTCCTTTGGGCCGCCAATGTTTCATGCCAATGGCCAGCCCATTTTTGCTAATATTCACCAATGGTTGTCTTCTTTTTCTCTTTCATTATTATCCTGTTTTAAAAATGCAAGGCAACTATCCAGCCTGTATTTCCTGGCTGGGCTATCTGTGGAGAGCTTTTTCATCCTAGGCTGGACTTGGGGGGACCCTGCTGGGGAATTTGATTTGGGACAAAAATCTCGTGGGTGTATTGAGGCAACCGTGAGGGAACTTAGTGATGGGCCTGGACCCCGAACCTTTCCTAAAAACAGCAGCTTGACAGCATTTCTGGGAAAAGAACCAATATGCCTGAAAATTAGGGAACGCTAGAAGCTGTCCAGTAGAGAGATTATAATCAAAAGCGTCCACACCAAATTATAAACACAGGCATAGTAATTTCTTTTTCATTTCAACACTGCCTTGAAGAACTTGAAGGAGTAGAATTACTTTGGGTTTAAAAAGTAATCCTCGCTCGCTCCAATCTCTTTTTCCTCACTCAATAACAATTCCCATTGTTTCCTTTTGTGTACATTGAAAGGCACACATATTAGGTCCTAACAGTTCGAATTCTGGAACTCCTTCCAAAGCCTAGTCACTTTGTACATTTTAAGCGAGTTTCAGGATGGCTGGAGCAGACACGAACCTAGGATCCAGAGACATCGTAGCGAATCACGAATGTGAAGAGTCCCCGAAGTTTGCTGCGCGTGGTGGTGGCCTCTGGCCAGCGCCGCCCGGGGCCCCGCGTGGTGCGGCCGCGCAGTCATCACCGTGTCGTGGGGTCCTCGAAGTGCCCCGTGGTCTTTACCGTGCCCCGTGGTCCTCACTGTGCCCCGTGGTTGCTTTGCAGGGCATGCCTCCTCTGAGCCCTGAGAAACCCGCTCTGTGCGCTGGCTGCGGAGGCAAGATCTCAGACAGGTACTACCTGCTGGCGGTGGACAAGCAGTGGCACCTGAGGTGTCTGAAGTGCTGTGAATGTAAGCTGGCCCTCGAGTCCGAGCTCACCTGCTTCGCCAAGGACGGCAGTATTTACTGCAAGGAGGATTACTACAGGTACTCAGGCTCCTGCTCCTGCCCTGGCACACCTGGCGGGGCAAGGCCTAGACCAGCATCCCCTGCCCCGTTTTCTGTCTCCTCGGGGTTCGATCCTGGCCCCAAACCCAGGAACCCAGCAAAGTCCTCCGGGGCCTCTGCGGACACCTTCCTCGGTCCTCTGGGTAGGCCCCGGGGAACTGTGTGGGAGGGGCACAGGATCTAGCGTGTTCTAGACCCGCGGGCACTTCGCAGCTGGGTAACCCAGTAAGTGGACATGCCTCAACTGCCTGAGACTTGGGCGGTTTATTTTCGCTTCCTACGAAATAAACAAACTCCAGGCCCAGGAACGAACCGGTGACTGAGACAGGATCCACTGGGTGCCAGGTTTTTGCGAGGGTGGAGTTAGACCTTGCAAGGGGCCACAATCCAAAGATCAGAAAAGAACACCGTTGGCAAAACCCAAGCCACTCAGCTTCGCGCTCCCTGCACAGTTAGCTAGAGCCAGGGCTGTCATCTGTGTCTGGATCCAAAAGATGTGCAGGTGACCCGACCTGCGCTCTCAGCCCAAGTGAGAAAAGGGGGGGGGCGTATAGAGAAAGGAATAACCTTTCTTCTATAAACGGACCCTTTCCTGGGCTGTGTCTGATGCACACTCCCTCACGCAGGAATAATAATCCGTCCTTCATTCGTAGGGTATTCTGTAATCGATGAAGCGTTTTCACATGGCATAAGAATTTCGTATTGATTCTTTAGACAGCCCTGTGAGTTAGCTAGTGCATGCTTTTTGGTTTGTTTGTTTGTTTTAATCTTCACTTTTTCAGAGAAGGAACCTGAAGCTTTGTTACCTGATTTTCATGCAAACGATCTTTGTTTTGGTTTACCAGGGCAGGTCAATAAACCAATGAAATGAATGTCCAAGTGGCCCCATCTGACTGCCTTCCCTAAGATTGCCCTGGTCTTAGACCCACTTCAGACTAAAACCCACGCACAAGGCGTGGGAAAAGGCCCGGCCTTGCCTGAGCGAGCGCCCTGACTCGACTCTTTCCTTCCAGAAGGTTCTCTGTGCAGAGATGTGCCCGCTGCCACCTTGGCATCTCCGCCTCTGAGATGGTCATGCGCGCCCGTGACTCAGTCTACCACCTGAGCTGCTTCACCTGCTCCACCTGCAACAAGACTCTGACCACGGGCGACCATTTTGGCATGAAGGACAGCCTGGTGTACTGCCGCGCCCACTTCGAGACCCTCTTACAAGGGGAGTATCCCCCGCAGCTAAGCTACACTGAGCTGGCGGCCAAGAGCGGAGGCTTGGCCTTGCCTTACTTCAATGGCACCGGCACCGTGCAGAAAGGGCGGCCCCGGAAACGGAAGAGCCCTGCGCTGGGGGTGGACATCGTTAATTACAACTCAGGTGGGTTCCTGCGCCCTCTCCCAGTCCCAGCCCGCCCACCCCCAGCCTCCAGCTGCTCTGAGCAGGATCTGGTAGTTCAGTTCATTTACCAACCCAGAGATTGACTTGCCCCGCATTCCTCTTCACTCTTCCTAACTTCCACTTACAGAGAAAAGTGAAGAAGGGAGAAAAAAAGGGAAGGAGAGTGGACATTTATTTAGTTTGTGGCAGCAAACCAAAAGAAATAAAATCCAACAAGCCCTGAATAACAAAAAAAATAACCCACACAAACAGAAAACAAAGAACACATCCATAACTGGGAGGGACGTCCCCCAGACAGGCAGCGCCAAATCCATGTTGCCCATTAGTTAATGAGCCCATTAGTTTCTGGCTCCCAGTTGGAGCAAAATCACCCTGGGGCAATTCCTTTGTGGATGCCAAATTATAGATCCTGGAGGAGGTTTTCTTAAATACTGGGGGGAAATAAAAAAAAAAAAAAACAACACCACTCAAACACCAAATAACTTCAGAGCCCAGCCCTAGTCTGTCTAGATGGAGTGGTGGCCCTGCCCAGAGTTAATCAGAAACACAGTTGTCAAGAGTGTTAGAAACTCATTCTGTGATCTGAGTGGCAAGCCGCTTTAAAAGGGGCTGAAGTTGGTCTCCAAGGCTGAGGTAGTCCTGATCTAGCTGGCTCTTCTCTGAGACAGATCATCCATATAATACAGACCCCCAGGCAGACCCTGAAGGCTTCTAGGTCAGGCCCATTGAGGAAGCTTACTGGGGGTGCAGGCTAGTCTCTTCTTCACCAGCTTTCCAGCTTAATGAAAAACAAAGTGTAGACAGCAGGCCAGAGAGTTCACTTTTCTGTCTTGCATAGATGCGATGAGAATATTTATCCATCTCTCTTACTCAAGCATCCGTAGTAGGAAACCTGGGCCCCCATTTGCAGAACTGGCAGCTCTTCTTCTAAAGGCTGGAGAAAATGAGAATGGAGAGGGATCTGCTAGTGTGACCTCATTGTGAGCAGGACCCAAGCTGTTCTTGTGAGTCTCAATTAGTGGGAAGAGGTTCTGGCAAACCCTAGAAAGGCAGAGGTTAACTCTTGGGGAAAGGGCTGATCCAGCTACACACTCTCTGCCCTCACCCTGCGCTGGCTGGAAATCTCAGCAAAGGCCAGCAGGGGAAGAAAGATCATTCGATCATCCAAGGAATGGACTTTATGGATTTCTAGCTAAAGCATGTGCTTTCTAATCACAACAAACCATCTCCATTTGCCTCTTCCAATCCCCAATGCCTGGTACGTTACCTGACATTCATTCAATTGGTGCTAATTAGTAATGGAAAGGTACCAGGCTAAATAAGTGACTTGGCCAAGGTCACTCAGCCAGGGTTGAGCATTTTTCATACATGGAAGGTCAATGGTTCCCTCCAGGTCTAGCTAAAGAACAGATTCACAACTCTGTGCATACACAGCAGGCAGCATCTTGGAGAGAGTCAGGGCCATTGCAAGACCAGAGCGCCTGTAGTAGTCTCCAGAGGGTCACTCAGTGATGGGAAAAGAGCTGGCTGCCATGCTACACCCCACCAGGATTGGTTTGCATGAGGACAGCAGGCGCAGCTCAGGGTTTTGCCAACCTCCAGCTGAGGGCCGTGCCCTCGCCCTCCTCCCTGCTGTGCTCAGTCAGGGGCTTTGGTTTGGGGCCACTTTGCTCAGTGAGCTTACTTCATCTCCTTTGATGCGTGGTCTCCGAGACAGGACAGGCAGGGCGCTAATTATTCTTTATTAATAGAAGATGACATCGGAATCTTGAGTCTCTCTCCAGAGCCCTAGTTAGAGAGAGAGAGAAGAGAGACACCCAGAATCAAGACTCAGATAAATACAACCAGCAAACTCTTTGGAGAGAGCCCACCAGAAGGGGTGGAGAATTTCAGCCCAAAGACAGCAAACTCAGCTTCTGGCTTACTAATTTTATCTAAATAGCTAAATTTGGTTTCTCCTTGGATCTTATTTTTTTATTAGAAAGATCTAGGGAGTTTTAGTGGTGGTAGAATTCAGTGTCTCCTTCTTCTTTGTCTGAAGAATGATAATCTTTCACTGAGCTGCATCTTTAGTTGGAAAATTAGTGCTGCTGTGAAATTATTGACAAAGTGGATGTCGTCTTGTTCATGACGGAGGGAGAAGTTGCTGAGATCTTGCTTAGCTGGAATCAATTTGTCCATCACACTACCACAGATGGGACTACTTCTTAATTAGTATTCACTCCATCCCTTCTGAATGCACTCTAGAGAGACTAGGAAATAGTATATATATATATATATTTCTTTAAAGTCAGATGAAAATAATCTGGAGCAATTACCAGAAATCAACCCACCAATGAAGAAAGTGTTTTCAAACCTACTCCCAGTTTGTACAAATTAACAAAAGAAAACTTTCAATGAATAAAATGTATTTTAAATGTGGAAGAGAAAATGTACCCACAATTCTAGGTCATTAGTTTTAGCCTTTTTGGATCTTCTATCATTTCGGTTGAAGTACAGATGAGTCTAATAAAAGGTTATGTTATTACTAAGAAAGCAAATTTAATATATACATACACATAAAACAAATTTATGACTCAAAGGTTGTCAGAGAAAATGTGAAACTTGGCAAAGGTCAGTGAATGCCTTTTAATGAGGATAATCAGAAAGTGGTTATTCCTCTTTATATCAGACATATTTTAGAAAGAGACATGAAAGTTCATCTGGCATTCTGATTTGAAATAAAGCCCTCTGTGGTTGGGAAGAAAATTTAATTCTAAGATTATCTTCTCCCACTTGAGTAATTTGGCATTAATTTATAGAGTCTAAAGTTTTGCTACTTTTAAAAATTTCCCTTCCAGAGGTTCTTTTTATCCACCCAAACGTAAAGGCCCTCAGAGATGTTAAATAAATCAGCCTGGCACTGACCCCTAGTGGTCTCCCAGGGATCAGATAGCTTACAAAAGGTCACACCTTCAGGACAGGAAAATCACTTTAGATAACTGTTTCCCAAGTGATGGAAAATAGAGCATTTACATTTTCTTAATCACTTTATAAGGCTGGATGTGTACTTATAGGTAGATGCTTAAGACAGTTTTGAGAGAGTTCTCATTATTATCTCACAAACTAGAAAAAAACTGATAGTTATAAAAGTAAACCATAGAGAAATAGCTTCTGAATTTACATAATATACAGTAATTGAACCTTAGGATATTGTACTAATTAGTATATAGAAGAAAAAGATACCTTTGTTAATTTCCGTGGTGTAAGTAATACAGGAAAATAATGTCATAATATCTGTTTATTAAGGAGATAATTTCACTTATCCCTTTTATACATTGACTTTTATTCTATGTTCAAACAAACACTTTACTTTTGTCAAATGAATGTAAATGCTCTATTGGTGTTTTAATCAGCAAGAATGGATATAGCAGGCATATTGAAGTAGCAGTTTTATCAAATCTTGTCACTTTTGTTAATCGTCTTTTTAAAAATCAATGATGATATAGTTAAATTAAAAGTCACATTCATTTCTCAGAAATATGACCTTAGGAAAAATGGTTCAGGGCATCATTTGAACACCAACTTAAGTCTTCTACTCCAAGTGTAATATTCAATTTGATATATTGTTCAGGAACAGTTCACATGTGATGGGAATGAAATCTGATTTGAGGACACATTCAATGACTGAGGTGTGCCTCTTGACTATTTTGTTGTGAGTACATTTATAGTCTGGTTATGACACATGGCCCTGATTACTGGAGATAAGTATGGCTTTATGGTAGATCCTAAGATGCTATTTCATCCATTTGAGGATAAAAAAGTGCAATTCTGCAGAAGAGTGGAGCTTAACATAGCCTTATTGGGCTGAAAACACATAAATTGTAAAAAAAATATCTTTTCTATTATTTCTGGGTCTATGTTATTCTTCCTGATGGAGCTCAAGATATGTTCAGCTCCTGAATCTGTTTCAGATTCTGTGTCACATGATTTGGCTTTTTATTATTAATCACTTGTAATTTTATTGATGAACAAAGGGTTAAACAAAATCTTGACTGAATGACTGCTAAGCTCCTGGTTTTGTTAGTATTTGGGAATCCACATGTAAATATGATACAGTTCTTTCCCTCAATAAATTCACCTCCCTTTTGCCAAGTATGCTCTTCTTCTTATGTATCTTATGGGAGTAGAAACCTGGGAGACAATAGTTCTTATGCCTATCCATTCTATTTAAGGGAGAGTTTCCTTTAGATGGGAATTGTCATATAGCTAACCACCTCGTTGATGGCTGCAAAACTGCTTTGTTTCTTTCTCTGTACTTAAACCAGTATAAAAAGTAATCCCAACCAGAATGAAGCAAGCAGATAACATTTTAGTAAGTTGTATCCAGGGGCTATTGTTAACTGGTATTATACTTTCTTCAAGATTCAGTATTCTTTCTCACCCTGGGTTGGTTTTAGGTACTTTATTAAAATACAGTAAAATGTGGGAGAGTCTCCCCTAAATAAATACCAAGTAAATATCCCAAATAAGTACTTAAAGGGGAAAAAACCACATTGGCATGACCTTGAAGAAATAAAGTTGATTAATTAAGTAAATATTGAGCAAAAGGTTTTCATTTTGCAAGTCATATTTCCTGTGCATACCCAGTAGGTTATTGGAAATGACCTTTGAAATAAGTAGCTTTACATCTTGAAGGATAATGACTTTCAGGCTGGGTTGAAAGGCTTGTTGTATGCACTCACTACTGAGGAAGGAAGGATTTACAGACACCACTCAACCTCTCTTTCTCATACACACACACACACATACATACACACAGCCATCCAGCAAGCATAGGCAGTGGCTGGGGGATAGCTAGAGGTATGAATGAAGTGGAGAGAAGTCTGGGTCTGTTCTCTTTCAGGAATATTTATGAAAAGAACTCCTAAGGAAAGATATGGTTATTTTGGTATTGGACAGTTATGGCTAAAAACCCACAGAAATAACATTCTTAAATTATAGAAGAAGTCTGAAAACATGTATTTCTTATCTTGGCTAGAAATTAGAAATAAATTCTCTGTGGCAAACTTCTTTTTTCTAAATATAATAGGATAATGAAGGCAGAGGAAAGGGGTGCTATGAAATCTTCACCCTCTACCCCAACTTCTCCAGCCATTTTATTTGTATTCATTTATGTTATATTTCATTCATGTGTTTAATACAATCTTTCATTTATATTGTGTTTCATACGATCGTTGGCTGTATTTTATATAACTAATTACTATTTAAAAATTAATTAGTATTGATATGGGCTTATTATTATCCCGTCTTTTCAAGTCCCCATTGAATCTTTCCTTTTCCTTCAACTCCTCCCCCGTCCCCCCTTAACCTCTGCTAACCTTGTAATTTCCACCCTTCCCCTTCTCCCACCCTCTTCCAACCTTCCCTTTCCCCTTTTGGACATTTATGCACATCTTACTAGTTTTCTTTGTATTCCCACATAACAATCTTATGCAGTATTTGTCCTTATGAGACTGAGTTAGTTCACTTAGCATAATGCTCTTTAGAATCTCTTATATTATTAGTATTTTACAAAATTATGTTACTTAGTGCTGCATAGTGTCCCACTATGTGAATATACCATAATTTTTCTATCTATTAATTTTTATTCTAGCCACTTTTAAACTCTGCCTTCATTGAGAACACTCTAGGAACTAAGAAAATAATAAACATTATAGCTGACTTTGTTTTTTCTTTAGTTGGTAGACTTTCAGATTTTAAAAGTCAGAAATAAATGTTTGTCATATCCCTTATGAGGAAGTCAGGGCCTTCCAATAATATCTCTCATTCCACAAATAGAGACAAAATGAAGAGTCTTTAAAAACTGTGCGTAGTATGGAGAGATGGGATAGTATGCTATCATATAGGAAGCATGGCTGTTTTCTTTTCACTCTTGGGTTTGTCCCACTCTGATTTTATTGTGGATAATGGTAAGAAGTTACACTGACAGTTCAAAGATAAACAGTTTGAATCCTCCAGCTGCTCTTCAGAAGAAAGAGGAACCGTCTTCTATGCAATTTATTGTTTCTGGAAGGTTAGCTGTGAGCTTGTTGTGACTCAACAGTACTTAACAACAACAACAATGTTGCCAACTGAGTTGATTTCTACTCATAGCATCTTTAAGTGTGCCAGAGTATAATTCTGCTCTGTAGGCTGTGATTTTTCAGAATTGAATCACAACCTGCTAGATGGGTTTGAAGTGACAACCTTTAGGTTAGTAGTCTAGCACTTGATCTTGTGTGCTGTCAAGGGACTCCTTCCAGATTTACGTGTTGTAAAGTCAGTTCTGACTCATAGAGATCCTATATATAGGTCAGGGGCCTGAAAGCATTACACAGCACAGCTCCGGGTCTTTTTGCTCCACAAAGTGGTTGGTGGATTTGAACTGCCTACCTTTCAGTTAGTAGCCAAGCATGTGACCAGTGGGCTACCAGTGCTGTTTTGACATTACATCACTAAAGGTTTATTTATCACTCCAACATTTTTTTGTTTTTGTTTGTTTTGTTTTTAGTAACTATTAAACCTAAGAGATAACGTCTCTATTATCCTCTATGGTTCTGTTCACATACATAGGCAAGTTTGACTGACTTTGGCAATGAATTTTTGTTAAGATGCCCTTGGTAGCCTTTTCTCACTGTTTATTATCTGAGCTTTATCATACAGCCTGCCACCATTTCTGTTAACAAAGACACTTCCCCTGAGCAGGTATTTGTTCACTGTTACTGCAACAGGTTGTAATGAGAACGAGGCCGACCATTTGGACCGGGACCAGCAGCCTTACCCACCCTCTCAGAAGACTAAGCGCATGCGCACTTCCTTCAAGCACCACCAGCTCCGGACCATGAAATCCTACTTTGCCATCAACCACAACCCGGATGCCAAGGACCTCAAGCAGCTTGCCCAGAAAACAGGCCTGACCAAAAGAGTTTTGCAGGTAAGAAGCCACCATCATTGGCGTGCCCTTATCAGTGGAATACCATCTCCTGTCCCCGTATCAGTGGAATAATTTCTGATGCTGCTCCTAATTAGTTTTTCTTAGTTATCTCCTTAGAGGGTGTACTGAGATTTTGTGGGGGCTTACCAGAGGGTCCCCAAAGAGAGATCTGGTGTCTTTTGAATTGCTGCACATTCTCCCTGCAGATAGGGAGAGACCCACGAAACCCAGCATAGCTTGCCTCACTGCTCTGCAAAGTTAGGCACAAACTGTACAAATTGTGACTCTTGAAATTCACATTCACCTTAGGCTCAAGTGCATAGACTTAGGAGGACACCTGCTGCTGCTGGCTAATCGTACCCCTCTTGGCAGTCTCGCTCCCTTGCCGTGACCTTCCACATTGAACTTGATTCTTCCTACCCCCCACCCCCCAATTTCCAAAAAGCCAGATATTGTGGTTTGCCTGTCAGAGACCAATTGAAGCAAGTATTTTCCTATAGTTAGTTTTAATTAGTAACAAACTGTATTTGAAAATAGAATACTTGGAATGAGTTCTGCTGACCAACTAACTTGTGTAAACTCATCATGGCGGCTCTTTGAGAAGATTGAAGGAGTGGACCATGCACAGGTTGCTGTGGGTCACCTGTGGTTCTCCTTAACTTTTTGGGGCTATATAACAAGTATTTTAATTCCTGAGAGTTGATAGTTTAGGGCTGCCAGTCCCATGGGGTCCAAAAAGTTTTTCTAGTAGAATTCTTACTCACTGCATGCATAAACAGCTGCAAGTCTGGTTCAGTGATGCTTATTTCTCATGGATGATTCTTATTTTAAAATACATTTTAGTGACCCTGTCTTTTCTCCCACTCTTGAAGGACAGCTGGGGAAGCATGGTGACGACCCCCCACCTTTTACCTCCCTCCCTGCTTTCCCTCCCATAGCATCACCACATAAGCACAGTGGTCCTCAATGGGACTTCCTAATGCTGGGGGGGAAAAGAGGCAGTTGAGAGTGAGCAAATCTAGACTAGTATTTGAATAACTTTGTTTTTAGAAAGAAAGAGAATTTAAAAAGCTCCCAAGGGGGGAAATCAAGCATTTATATTTAAAAGGATAAACATTTTTTAAAAAGGAGAGAGAGAGAGTGAAAGAAAGAGAAAGCTATCTATATACTAAAATTAAACATCGGTAAAGAAATCAATTGGGATTGGTTTGCAGGTTTGGTTCCAAAACGCACGAGCCAAATTCAGAAGGAACCTTTTGCGGCAGGAGAATGGGGGTGTTGATAAAGCTGATGGCACGTCGCTCCCGGCCCCGCCCTCAGCAGACAGCGGCGCTCTCACTCCACCCGGCACTGCGACCACTTTAACAGACCTGACCAATCCCACTATCACTGTAGTGACAGCCGTGACCTCTAACATGGACAGCCACGAATCCGGAAGCCCCTCACAAACCACCTTAACGAACCTTTTCTAACATTGGATATTTTTTTTTCCAATTCTTCCTCTTCTTTTTATTATGATTCTAATTATTATTATTTTATTATTTACAAGATTCTTTTTTTTTAAACCCACAAGATATTTGGGAAATTAAAAACAACAACAACAACAAAACAAACCAACCAACAACTTGGTGTGTCGCATCTACAGCCACTTGGCAAATGAGTTTACAAGTATTGTCTCCAATATTGTCTGTACTTGGATTTTTGTTCCTTTAATTAATTAGATCTTTCAGCTGGTAAGGGGAGTTTTTGAATTATTCTAATAAGTGCCTCTTAAAATTGTATGTTACTTATTTCCAGAATCTCAAACACACACCCACACACACACACACACACACACACACACGCACAAGAGAGCTATATTTTGATGGCCAAATGATCATCTTCCCAGTTAAATGACTAGGCTATTAAACAACCATAAAATAAAAATATTTTTTAAACTTTGCAATTGTATATGTGGCTAGGGAATTTTGCAAACTTCACATTTGTTAAAAATTTAAAAATGAAAGTTTTGGTTCATTCCTATTCCTTGTATGAATTGTTTGTCAGTTCAAATGAGGAATATGATGACACTTAAGTATTAACTAAAGCAATTTTAAATGTGAATGATGAATTGAGAGAGAAAGCTATTCCAGGACTCTGATTTTCTCTTCTTTTACAGATAAAAAAACCCAACAAAACATTCTATTTACCTGCTTGTTAAAATTTGAAAACATAAACTCCTTGTGAATTCAGGAAAATTCCATAAAGAATTTCTTGTAAAAGCTAAAAAGGATAATTATGAAATAATTCTAAATTACTTTTTCCCTGGGGAAAATGGAAATAAGCAAAATATAATTTTTAAGGAGTTTCAAAAAAGTGTTTTAGTTTAATGACTAGCTCTAGTGATTGGCTTCAGATGTACCATAAGATTGTATCTGGCAATCTATATGAATAATGTTAACAAACTGAAAACCTAGTAGACTCATATTCACAATGAGAAATCTTTGCTTTTGTTTTGTTTTGGCATGGGATGATAAATATGTTGAAGAAAAATTCTTCTGGCGGTAGAGATTTGAAGTTATTAGTCTGAAAGCAGATAAACTCAAAAGCCTCGTGGATGCATATCTGAGTATATTTCTTCGTTTACAGTAGCATTTTTTTCCTCCCTTTTAATTTAAACTAAACATTTTACTGGTCTGGGCAGTGGTGAATGTTCATCTCTATGCTTCTGTTGTAGTTCAATATCAATTAGATTGTGGATTTCCTAAAAAAAAAATAATAAAATTTAAAAAAAAGAAGTCAAGATATATGTCTTGCTTTAGTGGATTGTTGAGAATAACTTTGCACATACTCTCCACTTTTTGGACCCCTTAAATCTCCTCTGGTGGTCGAAGTGGCTATTTAATAGGTTTTAAAGGTGTCCTTCTGGCTGTATAAATGTGTGGTTAAATATTGACAGTTCACTGCCCACATTAAAGTGCATTATTGTAACTTTGCTCAGGGTCTTTAGAAAATTAGCACAGAAAGTAGCTTATTTTTTAAAAAAAATAAAAAAGATGATGGAAGAGAAGTTAACACTGTAACAGAAGAAAGGTGTGATTGCCATTATATATTTAGCAAGTGTGGTTATCATCTTATATGGAGCTTAAATCTTGACTTTTCATATTTCTATTACATTTTGGGCATTTACCACTAACCAGACCAAACAACCTTGGTAAGGCTGAGATCTTATGAATACACTTTTACAGGTAAAATATTGATACTTATAAATTTTGTTCTTTGACAGAACAATATATGGTACTATAGATCTACTTTATTAAGTAGACCAATTATAACTCAGTTCTCCTCTGTGCCTTATGATATAACTTGGAAGTAAGTTTGTGAAAAATCAGGATATATGTGTTGTTTGTTAAATTAACTGTTTTAAGCCCTTTTGACACCTCACTAGTTTTGTACTGTTTTACCTCTTATTTCTGAAACTCTTTTTATGGTGTATCCTGTTAGAGGGGACAAACATGTCATAGAAAGCAGTTGTGCACTCTTTCAAATATAGTTGATAAATTCAATAATCTTATATATTGAGCTTCGTGTTTATAGTACAGTAAGTGGTCTAGCAAAATTGTCCATGTTTCTTTGTTTATTGATAAATGCATTGTATAGAAACTATTTCCCTTAAATATTTATGGACCAAACAATTGTGATATATCCTATTAAATTTGTGTGAATAAACCACTTTGGATTTAAAGAGTTTTATTTCCCCATCAGCTTTATTTAAGGTTTAACTGTGCTTATGTACACTCAATATCTATATGTAAAAGATATCAAAATGATAAAGAAAACTTTTTAAATAGTCCAGCATACAAATAGATTTTCGATTTCCAAACTTCTGATTCATATTAGATGTACACACCATTGCATCTACAATGTAATTCAGCCTTGAATTACTTTTCAGATATATTTGCTTATTACAAAAGTAATGCCCCACTGATTTGACTCAGTTTGATTATTAGAATTTAAACTTTTAAAAAAATTAGCACATAAAGTAATTGCATGAAAAAACCCCACCTTAAATATGATTTAAGATTTAATGTTAGGCCTATTGAGCAAAGATGGAATTTTGTAAATCTAAATAGAAATTGCAGACCCCTTAAAAGCCAAGTTGCTCTGTAGTTAATAAATTGTCACTATGATTTTTTTCAGGGAGAACAAATCTTGGGGCATTACAGCCAAACATCCCGACGTTTGAAAATTCCCTAAAGTATTAAAAGAAGGGGAAAAGTTTGATCGGAAAATCCACTGCAGTGAAGACAAAGAGAATATTAGGTTATGATAATCATACATTTAAAAATCTATTGAGCCAAAAAACAAAAAGAGAGAGGAGAGAGACTTAAATGTCATTTACTGAATGTTAACAAAACAAACATTTGTTCTTGTGTTTAACACACATGAAGGCTTAAAATTATGTGGTTTAAAACAAAATTAGATCAATCATGTATAAATCTGAGCAACCTGGCAGTGATATGCTCACACACATTTGAAGAAAATTATTATGAAAAAAAACCAAAAATCCACACATTTGTCAAGCACAAGTAGTTGTAAAAAAAAAAAAAAATAAAAATCCAAAACCATTTATTCTTCCTGCTTGCTAATGTGTGTTACTCTTACCTGTTAATGGCATTTTTTCAATTGTGCAGTTGAAGATGAGCTATCACTTCTCTGAGAATATAGGGATTAAAACCCAGTAATTTTAGTATTATTGTTTATTATTTCTTTTTAAAACAGAAAACTCTGCATGCACTTTTACATCTGTCACTTCTAGTGTACATCTCTGTATGATGATTTATCTTTGCTGTTTCCTGTATGATAGCTTTCGTTAATAAACATTTTATTTGATGCAAACATAGTTAACTTTATGTTAAACACACACTGTTGAACTTAATTTTGAACACTGTCTTAAGAGGCAGCACAGTACACTTCCAACTTGTTACACTTAGGGGGAAATACAAAAATTATAATGAGGTTAAATTCTGGTAGTCTAGTGTAAAATTACTTACTTGGTTTTTAACTCTTCATAACTTACTTTCATTTGTTGTGTTCATTTGACACATGTATTAATATATAGATCTACATAAACAATGAAGAAAACTCAAATTACAACAAAAGTAAACCTCAGAATAAATTGTCATGTAACATTTTCAGCAACCATTTTAGATTATTAGGGTAAAATTGATGGATTTTTTTTTATAAGTTTACAATGTTAGCTATGCAATGAGCAAATTTATTGAAGTATATAAATAATATTCTGGACTATGAAGAAGTTGATCTTTGCATAGTTCAAATTACATGATATTACGAGCAAAGGAGCAAGTGGAAAGAAAAACAAATATTTAGAAATGAGGTGGGTTTTTTTTTAATTGTTAAGGGGATATTTGAAGAATTTCTTAACTCTTCCTATTTAGCTGTATATCCAAAGCATATGTTAAACAAATTAACATATAAAATACTTTCCAGAAAATTTTTCATTATGATGAAATTTTTATTATATACAAATGAACCCTATGTAAATGATGTAACTTTTATGAATGACAGACATTAAATATTTCACTTACATTGTATTTGAAGAATTTTGAATGCTTTCTTAAATGCTTTCACTTCCTAAAGAAAACTAAAGAAAGAGCAAGAGAGAGAGCAGCAGCTTACTATTACTTTTAAAAAAAGCAATGCACCATGTCAAGGAAACTATTTTTGAGTGATCATGAAACATGTTGGTTTTGTCAGTAACTTGAATGTTTATGCCTCATTGAAACCTCATCCATGGCTATAGCAACTTAAACAGATTTTCCAATGCATTTCCAGCCAGTTTATCCAGACCTCTGCCCTACAGCTTTGCCTCTTTTCCCTGTTCTGTCACCTATGGCAGTTTGGTTTAGAATATTTTGGAACTTCGCCTGGTTTCACAGACCTTTAAATATTTGTCTGGTATGTGAAATGTGTGTGTGTGAGGGGAACCAAAGGGGGAAAGAATCTAAGTGAAATTAGACATCTGAAAAAAATAATACAAATTTGAAACAGGCACATTTGAAAAAAAAGAAAAAAGGAAAAGCAAGGAGCACTAATTACGTGAGGGGAGAAGTTAAAAAAAAAAGGAACGCAGCTTTAGCAGGACTATCTCGCTTTCCCATGATGCACCGCGGTCTTTGAGGCTGGGCAACTGCGCTCATTGTTTGGCTTGGGATGTGAGAATGTAGACCTCTTGGTTGAGAGCAGGGCGTTAGATTTTTATAGCTTCTACCTCCCAAATGCCTGGGTTGGTCTACTTTCTGCCAAACTGATCCTGTGCAAAAAAAAAAAAAGCTTACTGAAAGTTAAGTGTCAGCTTTGATTCAGTACCCACTATAATGCTAACTTGCTTTATAGGTTGACTTCCCATACCTTAGATAAGGATAAACCTACATAAAACCCAAAGCAAATACCTTTGAAACTGATTAGTTCC